ATTCGAATAGAAACCAAAAGGAAACCACGATAAAAGTACTAAAACTAAATTCCATAAACATACAAGTCGATATAAACGAAAACAAGTTCTAAAGTACTCATACCTCAAAACTTAGGACTGCCAAAAATCTCCACAACCAAATAGCAGCTTAAAATCAAATCTGATCACGAAACGAGGAATATAGGGTTTAGCATTGAACGCCACAAGATCGCGCCGCAAAATCGAGCCACAAAACTGAGCTCGAAATACCCGAACTTAGGAGAACATAAATCACCCAAAACTGACAGTCATTCAACATGCAAATCGAACGAAAATGTAGCAGAAAAAAGAAGACAGAAAAACGAAGAAAATAAAAGCAAAACCTACCAGAAAATTGAGCTCCAATGGGAGAACCCAGCTCTGAAACGAAGAAGAAAACGAACGAAAAAGAAAAGAAACTCGCGCGTCGTTTAAACGTTGAGAGGCAAAAGCGTCATTTAATTTGTAGGTTTACAGATGGGCTAGGCTTTTTAAGAGAAAAGGGTAGAATTGTCTTTTCATTTGTTATTTTTAAGCTGGCCCGACGAATCTGGGCCAGCCTTTGGCCTAATCTAAAATAGCTATTTTTTATTAAGTATTAAAACCCAAACTAAAATACCTAATATCTCACTTACTAATTAGTAAACTTAATTATGTCTAATACCTAATTTCTACCCATATTGTTTGACTTGGCATCAGAGCCAACTTTTCTGGTGACCTGTGTGTTGTGCCCACCCTTGTTCTATCCCTATATTTTTTTTTTCTCTACCTGTGACGTGTGTGCCCTCTTGGATTTGTGTGTCGTGCTGTGTGTTCGTGCATCTACTGTGTTCGTGCCATTCCTATCTTCGTGCATCTGCTGTATTTGTGCCTTTGTTGTGTTCCGCTGTGTACTCTTCTGTGTTCGTGCCTGTCTGCGTGCATCTGCCGTATTTGTGCCTCTGCTGTGTTCCGCTGTATACTCTACCTTGATCTGTTGAATTTCTGCAATTATGGGTGATAACTCCATTCTTGCTGCTGCCTCTACAAATTTGTGTGTTTCTGATTATATTCCAGGTACTGGTTCCAATACTTGGATAATTGACACTGGTGCTAAATTTTTTGATGAGTTGTCTAGTAACACCTGTGACCCATACATAACTAGTGTTAATGGCTTACCCTCTCCAATTACTGATGAGGGCACAATCTCTCTCACTCCTACTTTGTTCTTGTCTCATGCATTACTAGTTCCCAATATCCATTGTAACTTGTTATCTGTTGGTCGATTACTTGATACACTTAATACTTCCACTACTTTCTATCCTACACATTGCTCTTTTCAGGATCTCAAGACTCACGAGACGGGCATGGTAAACGGATAAGGGGATTATATTATTTGACATTGCCTTCTGCACTAGTTCGTGATCGTGTCGTTAATACTGTTCAAAGTTGCAGTGTCAAAGACGAACAACAAATTTGGTTATGGCATCGTCTCTTGGGACACCCTTCATTTGGCTACCTTAAGTGTCCGTTTCCATCTTTATTCTGCTCTTGTGATGAGTTCAGTTTTAAGTGTGAGACATGTATTTTGGCCAAGAGTCATCGCACTGTGTTTCCTTTGAGTGACAGTAAAGCTGCAAAGCCTTTTGATTTAGTGCATTCTGATGTGTGGGGTCCAGCTCGCGTTACTTCGAATGGACGGATTTCATTAGTTCGTCACATTTATTGATGATTGTACCAGACTCACTTGGGTTTTCTTGCTAAAAATAAACATGATGTTGCTTCCATCCTTCCAAAGTTCTGTACTATGGTGTCTACTCAGTTTCATGCTCGGGTCAAAGTATTCCGGACTGATAACGGAGGCGAATATGTGAATAACACTTCGGCATTTTTCTTTCATGCTCAAGGTATTATTCACCAAACGACAACCTCATTTACTTCTCAGCAGAATGGTGTGTTTGAACGTAAGAATTGTCAGTTACTTGAAGTTACCCGCTCCCTTATATTAGATATGTCTGTTCCTCATCATCTTTGGGGGCATACTGTTTTATCTACTGCATATTTGATTAATCGTACTCCTAGTCGAGCTCTTGATTTCAAGACTCCACATGATGTGTTTAGTGACCATGTTTCCCCTGTCTCAATCTCCAAGTTGCCTCCTAAAGTTTTTGGGTGTGTTGCCTATGTTCATGTCTACTCTCATCAACGGAGTAAACTTGATCATTGTGCTCTGCGATGTGTCTTTATTGGTTACTCGTCTACTCAGAAAGGTTATAAGTGCTATCATCCACTCACCCAGAAGGTGCATGTTACTTTGGACGTGACTTTTCATGAAGAAGTGTCCTATGGTGTCTCTCCCTCCTCTCCAATTCAGAGGGAGAAGGGGAGTGAATTGGAGAGTCTTGGATTGGAGAATGATGTGTTTGAAGATATTGCTCTCGGGAAGGAAAATACATGTCACACTGAAACAAGTGACCTGTCACCCATATCTGAAGATGAAACTTGTGGTCCCTGTGAAGTAACGACTGATCAGCCTTTGGAACTCGATTAGTCGCCCATATTTGGAGATGACGCAGGTGCCCTCGGTGTCGAAACAATTGGTCACACTGAAGCAGGAGACCAATCGCATGTATCTGAAAATAATGACAGTGATTCTTGTGTGGATGAGTTCGATGCAATACCCCCCTCTGCCCTGCCAGTGCCCCAATCTACTCGTGATAGTGAATCAAGTAAGGTAATTTCTAATGATATATCTGTGTCAACTTAACAATTACCCCCACGAACCACTCGTGGGAAACCTAAAATACAATATTTTCCTGATATACATGCCAAGCCTAAATATCCCATTAGCCATTTTGTGTCAACTCATTGTTTGTCTAAGTCATATGCATCATATTTGTGTCAATTATCTACTATATGTGTGCCAACTAAGCTGCAAGATGTTTTATTTAACCCAAAATGGATGGATGCCATAAATGTTGAAATGGATGTCTTGAACAAAAATAAAACATGGGATTTAGTTCCTTTGCCACGAGGGAAGAAAGCTGTTGGATACAGATGAGTGTTTACTTTGAAGCATAAAGCTGATTGTTCCATTGACCGTTACAAGTCTAGATTGGTAGCAAAGGGTTATACTCAGACCTATGGAGTGGATTATTTGGAGACCTTTGCTCCAGTGGCAAAGCTTAATACAGTGTGTGTAATATTGTCCCTGGCTGCTAACCGTGACTGGCCCTTATTACAATTCGATGTCAAAAAATGCATTTCTACATGGTGACCTCAAGAAGGAGATTTACATGGATCTCCCTCCTGGTATTCCTGTAACCTCTAAGGAGGGTGTTATGTGTAAGTTGCGGAAGTCTTTATATGGATTGAAGCAGTCTCCAAGAGCGTGGTTTGGGAGATTTGCAGCATCTATGAAGAAATTTGGGTATGTGCAGAGTAACTCAGACCATACTTTGTTTCTAAAGCGTCATAAAGGCAAATTGACAGCTTTAATTATTTATGTTGATGATATGATTGTGACTGGAGATGATCAGGCAGAAATGCAAAATCTTCAGAAGTATCTAGCTTCCGAGTTTGAGATGAAGTCATTGGGTGATTTGAAGTACTTTCTTGGGATTGAAGTTACTAGATCTAAACATGGTATCTTCCTATCTCAAAGAAAATACATTTTGGATTTACTTGCAAAGACTGGAATGTTAGATTGTAAACCAATTGATACCCCTAGTGAATAGAATCATAAGTTGGGGTTGTATCCTGATTAAGTCCCTACAGATAAAGAGCGTTATCAACGACTTGTTGGGAAATTGATTTATTTATCTCATACACGTCCTGATATTGCATATGCAATGAGTGTAGTGAGTCAGTTTATGCATTCTCCGAGTGAAGATCATATGGGTGCTGTGATGCGCATCTTGAAGTATCTGGAAGTAACTCCTAGAAAGGGGTTAATGTTTTGCAAGTATAGTCATACAGATGTGGAAGGGTATACGGATACTGATTGGGTTGGTTCAATTACTTATAGACATTTTACGTCTGGGTATTTTACATTTGTTGGTGAAAATCTTGTTACTTGGAGGAGTAAAAAGCAAAAAGTGGTGTCTAGGTCTAGTGCCGAGGCCGAGTACCATGGCATGGCTCAAGGTGTGTGCGAGTTACGATGGTTGAGAAGATTGTTGAGCGATCTTGGGTTTGGACTCCAGAAACCCATGGATTTGTATTGTGATAATAAAGCTACAATTGCAATTGCACATAACCCTGTGCAACATAATCGTATAAAGCACGTGGAGGTTGATCGACATTTTGTTAAAGAGAAGTTAGATGCTGAAATTATTTCTTTTCCGTTTATATCATCCGAGTATCAACTGACAGATGTTCTTACGAAAAGCTGTGTCTATTACGGTCTTTCTAAACTCGCTTGACAAGTTGGGCATGCGTAACATCTTTGCTCCAACTTGAGGGGGGGTGCTAGCGAGATCCTAACTTAATTAGGATATTTATTTTCTAGTTTATTAGGATTATATTTCTTTCCTTTTTGTACAGATATTGTGTAATTGAGTTTTTATCTTGTTTTCTAGTTTGACCCTACTAGGGTTGCATCCTTGTACCATAAATACCTTCTTTTGAAGAATGAAATATAACCTGAAAAATATTCTACTCATATTGTTTGACTATATGAACCCGCAAGCCTAACCACCTTTTTCACAAGGCCATTACTCTCGCAATCTCAAGCATATATAGCATTTTGAATGGCTTAGATTCCGAGGCTTTTCCTATAGCAATGGCCTCACCACAAACACTCTTTTTCCATTTTTTTCCCTCTTTTGGGGTATTAATGGGTTGCCTATGTGGGAGTTGAACAAGAGTGAAAAAAGAAAAAAGACAATAATGTTGGGGGAAGCAAAGGGGACAAAAACAATTATTTGAAGTTGTTTAAAATGTCCACTACCGTGTACCTTTACACCTAGTACATGTGATAAAGAAACAACTCCTCACCGCCTCTCTTTCTCGAATACAAGATTGTGTCTTTTTGGTTTTAACAACGATATGCATCATTCTTATTGGAGCTGTATTTAGCAAACTCACAAATTCATGACTATTTTAAAATACATGCCAATTCAAGCATTTTGCAGGACAAAGACTATCAGACATACAACCTCAGTGTGCTTAAACAGCCTGCATCATCTTTTGTGGTATTCAAGAAAACACTTGTTAGTAACTGGCGAGCAGATGACATGAGCACGCTTAAGTTATCTACTGTAACCTAAGTCTCTGTCTGGCACTATGTACTTCACTATCAGACAGATCATTCACTTCTTCCACAATTTTCTTATTTTGTTGTACAAGACTCTTGCAAGCTCAAGCATACCATTCCATGAAACTCAGGTTCATCTTCAAGGGCACTGCACAAGGCTTGCCTGGATCGTTGAAACTTTCAGCAGTATGGGAAGCGTAGTTGCAAAATGATTAGACCAGATATCCCTAATCAAAGCAATGCAACAGAAACAGGGCTCCCCTCATCAAAATTATTCTCGCTGCTGCAAGTTATACAGTATGAGGAATTATAGCTTTTCTTTTCTTTTCTTATTTTAGCATTGGACGGCCAGAAAACCCAAAAAATAATAAATTACTGAAATCCGGAATGTAAAAGATGGTCACAGTCAACAAACCAGTACACAGTCACAATTGTCAAACAACGATAGCCTTGGTGCAAATATAGAGATCCATAAGATAACGACAAGTAACACTACTCTTCATATCTTAAAACTGAATGATATGAAAAAGACCTGTTTCCTCAAAGAGAAATCTTCACTGCCAAGCTCCTGAGCGCACCCCTCATGAAACAAGAAGCATATACCCCTGCATGTGATAACAGGTATTACATCTCTTAAATGAAATGGAGAGTGCATGGCAAGGGAAAAACAATTTGGTTAAAAATGACATGAAAACGGTCAAATACAGCAAAAGCAATACATAAACCTAAACCCTCCATAAATTCAGTTAAAACTACTTAAAGTGATTCTTCATACAAGTGATTATTGGCCTATCCATAATCACTCCAAACGAGCCTTTATTAAAGTATCGTCAAATCTTATATTGCCTAGTAGCTCACTTTGTCCCTTGATCTAACATTACAGAATGGTATGTTTCAACCCAGATATTACCACACATCTTTTAAAAAGTTATCTCTCTCTCTCTCTCTCTCTCTCTCTCTCTCTCCCCAAAGGGAGACTGCAAACCGGGTGCATCACTTTCACCATGCACTCAGCAGTATATATTGGATGGTATTTATGCTCTGCCTGTCCAATCAAGTCAACTTCAAAATCATGAAAATTCCAAAGGCACAATTCCACCATGTTAGCATCATTCACCCATTTTGAAAATGAGTTTTTATTTAGTTTTTGCGTAACAGTAATACCAAAGGAATCAAAAGTTTATATGAATAAATCAATGATTATAGTCTGTGCAAACGGCCAATTAATGAAGGCAGTATGTTCACTTCCTTGAACCTGGCCAGGTTCAATTCCCCTTCCCTTGTCAAATTAAATATGATTGGCATATGTGCACACTATTTACACAATAAGGGAAGGGATATAATAAAAAATTTACAACTGGAGGTCTGAAATTCTAGAGACAAGATCAAGTGGCAAAAAGTTCAATTATCACAAACCCTAAGTTCCACAGATTTCTTTAGCTTCATAATGCGGCTGTTTTTCTTTGACTCTGCAACGGTGACACTTATCATGGCAACAAAGAGGAACCTCTGGATGGGGGTAAACAGCTCCCAAGCCACGGCTTGCTCGGGGTTCAAGCCACCTTTCATGGCTCGAGCCGAGCTGGCCTCGTCGGCATTGACGAGCTGACCATCGAGGGAGACCTGTGCTGGCTCGTCGGAATACAATGTCCTTGGATATTTTTTTGAACTTATTTGTAGTTAGATTATGGATCACTTAGAATTCATTCTGCATACACTCCATTTGTTCACTGGGTACAACACACATTGACTTGCACCACACTACCCCGCTTCCCTCTTTCCCAAATCATATGGTTATTAAGGTATATAATGCATTTGAGAAAGTGCGAACCAAGATGGAAAAGAGATGCATTACAAGAACTCATGCTTAAGTGTCAAACTTAATATAGCCTCCATTTACTCTCCTCCAGACCAAACCGGTTATGAAGTTAGTTAAAACACAACTCAATCAGCTGGAAAAACACTTACATCATCCTCAAAGTTCTAGTAATAGCTTTCAAAGCCTGCAAGTAGTTCCCAGGACATTTCTTCAGACCTTGCACCTATACGAGAACAAGGAACAAAAAATTCATGATTGGTTACAAACCACAAGAAGAAGTAATCCAAAACGGGAAATATCATAATTCATAAAAGTTCCCAGATGCATGAGAAAATGACAGAAAAGACTGCATCAATTCAGCAAAGACAGGGAAAGGATTACTCACAATAACAAATAAAGGATTTAAATATATAGAACTTAATCTTTCAAGATAGTTTAGAGAAGCATTAGCAAGACCCTACAAAGAAGAAGTTATCCAAGAGTAATCATAGTTGCAGACTTACTATAACTCTTTCAGCAACCAAATGTCGGGGTAACTGCCTCAGGGTCCCTTCAATATCATTAGTTTATTCTTTTGCCACAGTAATCGGATTTTTTTGGTAATAAAAGAGTAAGTTCCACAAAATAAATACTAATGCTGCACTACATCAGCATGCAATAAACTACTTTATTTAGAAGTAATCAAGTACATAAAGAAAAGAAAAAGTATCCTCACAAGTCACAACACATGAAAACATTAAAAGTATATCCTCTTCTCTTGGATCAAGAATCACGCTCAGAGTAGATTTCCACTCTTCTCTGAGTACTACAGCTCCAAGGAGGTAAGTTGGCAGAGAACCAGTTGCCAACCGCTGAAATCAGAATGCAGTTTGATAAACCATCAAGCAAACTTTAATCCATCGCATATTCGAAAAACTTTAATCCATCGCATATTCGAAAAACCATCTTTTTTTTCAAAAGAAATCTTCTGGGTAAAAAAAGACCAGCTAGTCTTTTGCAACAGAACTGTCGTCTTTTAATAGCTTTGTAGTATCATTGCAATTGTAAGAACAAGAAACCTCTTATTGCAAAAAAAAGGAACAAGATAAACAATGTCAATAACATCTAGCCTTTTAAGTACACGATTATGCAAATAAATAGTATAAGAAACAACACAAATAATCAGGGGGGGTGTGGGGAGAGAGAGAGAGTACTTGTAAACCAAAGTAGTTAATAAATCCTTGCTTTCCGAAGGCAATTGCAGATGTTTTAATCGTATCTTCAGAATCTGCAACAACTCCTCTGAGAAGATATGTGGATGCATAAAATGAGCCAAATGAGATGTATTTTGCAAGAACATACAAATGGATAGAGGGAACATGCTTACCTCAATGTTACAGTAAATTGATTTCCCAGGAGTTGGCCAAGGACAAGTCCTTCCCTCACATAGCTGGAGAAAGGCAACTATTACATGAACATGCATTACAAACCAAATGGATGGGAATATAGGTAACCCAAAATTCTTGAGCCTTATCAGACATCACCTACTTTGATACCAATCAACCTATCATTAAGAGCAGTTAATTTTCTTCCAAACTGCTTAAAAACAGTTACCTGTGAACACAACAAGAACCAATGGAGCACCACCCTGCAACAGAAGTACTAGTTTTAACAAATTCATTAAATATTTTAGCAACCATTTTGCTGGAGCTAGAATAACTGATATTCAGAGGATTGGTACTAGAAATCTGTATTTCAACAAAATTCGACCTACGGAACATGGGTCAAACCCCTGCTCCACACACTGATTTGAAAACAATTAAAATATGAGCTTCTATACCTTGGTTCAAAGATATGTAGTGTTAAACAGCTTTATCAGAAGTCTAGCATATGAATGCCAACAAAAATAAACTCAAGCAAATGTTTCTTCTAGATAAGCAAATACAATGTTTAGAGGCATAAGCAGCAAAGTTAGTGAGTATCAGTTACCCATTGAGGTGAGGGGCATAAAAGGCAGAATCAATATGGCACACACATCATGTACCAGGCATCAGGCATCATGTATGGATTATGATACTTGGAAATTAAGTGGACCAAGGAAAAGTAAATATTATCTGGTTAGTTCATTAAAGGAAGGGGCTTTCTGTGACGATAAGCTAGACAAGGTTTTCTTCTCTGCATAGACGATCACTCGAATCTCCATGAGCATAACACAAACACAACTATGCTATTCACAATATGTACTCTACTTAAATTTGGATGCTATTCACATATCTACTCCATGTAAAGTTTACAGCCTCAACATTGGCAACTTCTCAAAATCCTTACACCTGGTTCCAAAAATCAAGATAAACATGATAAAAGGGTTCAATGGCCATATAACAAGGATCAAGCACAGAACTTAATGGAAGATTGAACTAAACCCTAAACCCGAAACTTAATCCGCAATTCATAAAACAATTCCCAAAATAACATACAATCAATTTCAAAAGCATTATAATACAGCTACAACTTCTTGGTTATTTAAGAAAAGCATATATTGAAAGAGCACAACATTAATATATAGGTGCAATGCAAATTTTAGCAGTAAAAACCTAAACTTTCCCAAATCCCTCAGTTCAATACCAACCCCCTTCCTAAATACAATCTAATTAGCCTCTTCTAATCAAAATCCTTCCTTGATCCTCACCAAATCTATCAATCAATCACTTGTACTCGAAGCTGGGCATGGGCGGGGCATCGAAGCTCTCCAAAATCTTTGTCTCGCTTCCGCTACTCTTAGCCTCAGGCTCCTTACTCTTCCCGAACCACCCTCCAAGCCACCCTCCTGAACTAGCCTCAGCCCCGCTGCTGCTAACCGACGTTGCCGGCTCCGAGCCCGGCTGACCCGGAGCACGGCCCACAGGAGGAAGCCCAGGCAAACCGCCCACGCTCGCCGGCTCTTCAATCACAATAGGCATCTGCTGCTGCTGGCTCATGAACTTATTAAGCATGATCCCAGCTCCTTCGATCAGAGCCAGGAGGACCCCACCGAAGGCAGCCGATCGAGCCGAGGCGCCGAGGCCCTGTCGCATCTGGAGGAAGCCACCGGTGGCGGCCCCGGCGATGATAGAGTTCCAGGGGTCCTCCTTCTGGCGGACATAGACCATCGTGCAGTCGAAGGCGGAGAAGAGGCCACCCCAGACGGCGAAGCTACCGCCGACTCGCGGCGCGTTCATACGCACGGCTTGCGAGCCGCCGATGAGCCGAGTGCCGGAGGGGGAGTTGTAGACGCCCTTGAGGAAGTGGAAGGCGGAGCCGCCGACAGCCCCCATGCCGAAGGCGCCGCCGATGTCGTCGAGGATGCGGTCGGGGCACGGTTCTCGAGAGGTTTCTGGAGTTCCCATGGTTTGTGTGATGGGCGAGAGGGTTTTTCGCTTCTTTGAGGTTTGCTTGAAGAGTCGAGAGAGAGATCGAATTAAGAGGAGGACTTTCTTTGTGTTTGCATCTTCTGGTTCTTCTGGGTTTTAGTTTGTGTGGTGTTTTAGTTCGGGTCGGGTTTTTTTGTTGCGGGTGCATTAATATTTATATAAAAAAGTCCTAGTATGGCAATTGTCGATTTTGGCTTGCAAATCACGTAGTCAGTTGACTCATGAAAGTGCAATTAGGAATTTAGGCTTGGAAATGCTTGTGGCAATTAGGGATTCAATGGTTATCAATTCAACATAATTATATTATTATTTTTTCACTTTTATTCTCCCTGAATATTATCCCCAAAGTAGTAAAATAAATTATCGTAACTATTCAAAAGTATATTTATGTTTGGTATCATATCATGTTATATACAAATTGAGTAATAAAAAAGTGAAAGATCAATTATAGAGAAACAAGTGGCGCAAGTGTTACATTTGTATTTTTTGGGTTTCATTCTTTTGTTGTACTAACGCCTCATTGCCCTGTTTTTTTTCCTCCTATGATGTGTCTTTGGGAACCAGCTAGACTTGCTCCACTTGAAGTAGTACTATTTTATGTTGAAAGAACTCTATGTGATCCAGATCCCATTCATTTCAATGCCTTCTGCAAAATGCTTCCATAGGTAAAGCGATTGTTTTGTTTCCTACTATTCTATCATGAGGAAAATATGCAGGATTTATCTGGTCATAATTTGACCTTTTTCTTGGGTTTAATGATGGACTACAATGTGTTCAATTAGAAATCATGAGTTCATTTGGTGTTTTTAACTGAGATTGTGGTGATTTTCATTTATTTTCTTCCTGTGGATTTTCAGTTATTACAAGATGTTAACAATGTACGAGAGAGTTAAGAAGAGGCAGTGAGTATACAGAGATTCTTTGTAGGCTAGACAAGATTGAAAATAGTTTTTTTTTCTTTTTCCTGTTTTCTTTCGAAACTTTTTGTTCACTTATTCTCCCTGAATATTATGTTCAAAGTATTTAAATTTTTGTCCGAAATGTTTTATTTGTGTTTCTTGATTTGAATGAAAGTTTGGTATTTCATCCTTTTTTTGGGTTTCTTTCATTTCATACTGTCTTCGCATTTTCCTTTTCGTAGTGAACTCTTTTATCACGATTCATGCATATATCAAAACCAACAAAGCTGTGGTGATTGAATTATAATTTCCATGTATGACACATTTTGAATACCAATTCATGTCCTAAAGGCAAAAAAAAAAAAAAAAAAATCTATTCAATGGAATATTTGTTCTAAAATTTGTTTTACTCTGTACATTTTGCTCTTCCAATTACTGTTTTTTTTTTAAACTTAATGATCTATTTATCACTGGCATGTAAGTAACGTAGTAGCATATTTAAATTCTTCTTAAGAAGTGTTTTGAATCAAGCCTTGGTTCTATTTTTCAAGAAGACGTCTATCTTGGTAAACTAAATTGAGTTTGAGTTTATGGGGTTAAATATTTTGCCATATTTTTTGTTGCACTGTTTGTTTTCTTATTCTTATATGCAAGGATGATTTCTTTTCTTTTCTTTCCAGTTTCAAAAAGAGTTACAGTACTTTTCTCTTGCTTAAATTTTGTGAACCCATATTAAGAAATGTGGTTACGCATTATGTAGCCTTTTTCTTGGGTTTAACGGAGTACAATGTGTTCATTTGGTGTTTTTAGCTGTGATTGTGATGATTTTCATTTTGTGGATATTCAGTTTTCGCAAGATGTTAATAGTGTACGAGAGGGTCAAGAGGAGGGTGTGAGATCTTCAGTGACTTCCTTAGGGATATATTTCTATTAGATTGTATCAAACTTGATACATCACTTTCGATCAAATTTTCTACTATTAGAAAAATTAAAGCAAAAGCACAACGAAAGGGATTCTGGTAAAATATAAATGCTTTTGTTTAACAACTCTTTTTTTTTTTTTTTTCCTTCTTTTGTTTGATAATTCTTTTTCCCATTGTGTATGAAGCATGAGATGGCATTGAATTTGTAGCATGCTCAACAAACGGCTATTTGTCTAATTAGTTTCTAATCTATTTGTCTAATTGGTATTTGTTTAGTACAATTTGCCATTGGGACTTGATTATGCACTTCCTCATCACAAACATGAATTGCTATATCCAACTTTTTTGTTATGTTGCTTATTAAAGTTCGAGTCTTTTGGTTTGATTTTGCAATGAATATTTAGTAATTGGTCAAGCTTCTTCCAAGTTTGTTATCAATTAATTGCATACACTGAGGTTATAGTTTTGTGCATTAGATTAATAGAATACTTATGGGACATTTGGTAACGTTTTTAAGTCCTCATTTTCATTTTATGTTTTTATTTTCTACCAAAAGCGAGTTCTGTATGTCGTTTTCATTTTCACTAAAATTCGTTTTCTGAAAACAAATTCAAACTCATGTATAAAAATTGAAAACATCAAATTTTCGTTTTCATTTTCTACCCAGTGTAAAAGGATGGCAACTAGTTGGGCAGGGGCCGGGTATGACAATATAATCCCTGTCCCCGCTCTCCATGACAGGACCCGACCCAAATTCCACTTTGGAATCTAAGTCGAACCCTGTACGTATTCAACACCTGGCAGGTGCCGATCACACTTGACCAAATTGCCCTTCTAACTAGAATTTTAAAAAATTCCTCAGGGTTTGACTTCTGCCAAAAATTCGACACAGCCTTCACTGTAAATTGCCCGTTCCCAAACTTTTTCACTTGTACAACAAGCAATTTAAATATCAAGAACCGTTCAGCATGCACAATAACAGATTTCATGCAACCAAACCTCAAATCTTTATGGCCTCAGGCCTCTTTAAATCAAATAAATCGTTCTGCCAACTGAAATTGATCCCAACTTTTGGAACAGCATGAATACGTTAACAGCTTTTCAATTACTTGGTATCGCGGCTGCACCTAGTGACTCTAGGTTGCCTACGTATCTTTAATAAGGAATCAAGCCGCACGTCGTTCTTTCCCTGTGTTTTATTGACAAGTTATGTATTCAACTTTTATGTTTACCACATGTTTTGCAAAATCAAATAGGAAAATAAATTAAAAAGGAAAAGAAAATAATGAGAGGAGAATAACTTTTAAATTGGAAAAGAAAACACAAGGAGAACGGGTATATAAAATCAAGTAATGACATGGTAAAATTAAACTTCATTTAAGAAAATAATCGTGAATTATACAAAATCCTTAAAACTTAGAAAACCCTCAATCCTTGTCTCTTACGTAGGAAAACATATATTAAAACCTTCACTCATAAATACCAAGATAAAATCCTCAATTTTTAGTTTAAAACATCTCAAAACTTAAATACTCTCCACCTAGGCGTACCCCCATTCGTGATCTGTCAATTCCACCAAATTTTCATCAATTCCAGTAATGTACCGTCAATTCCATGAATTTCTATTTATTTTCCACATTATACCATCAATTCCTTGTGTCTCATAATGTGACACTTCCAACCACTTTTTGGGGTTTTCGGCTCTCCATTCATTGTTCTGATCATGTAGGTACAGGTCTTGACCGGCGGTTTGAAGATTTTCTAATTGCCGGAATCGCTTTAGACACCTACGCGCTGCTGGCGAGTGTGGCGGTGCTTAGGCACTGTTCGGGTGTCCCTCTTGGTTCTAAAATAATCTCATGTCATCCCGAGCACGATGGTATGCTCGGATTTCAATTTGGTTACCTTTTGACTGTCGATCAGATATCGCATATTAGGCGTTATCTTGGTTCGATATATTCGGACCGTTGGATCGACTTCATTTTCTGATATGTTGATCTAGGCACCTCTAGGATCGTGTAGGAATTTGCGGATCGAGAATTGGAATCCCAAATACTCAGATTCAATACTGTGATCGCGAGCAATCCTACCATTTGATTCGGACCAAACTTGCAGGGCATGTTTAGTAAATTGTGTTGAACCTATTAGAACTCTCGGATTATTAATCGGAGGTCATGAATCCCACGGGGAATCGGAATGACCAATATGGGAATTTAATCGCTTATTTAACCACGGGTCTTTTCAGAGCATTCCACTTGTCAGAAATGTTGAAAATGGGCCTAGGAACCTTCTTAAGTTACGTACACACACTTTTGAGGCGGGGGTCAAGTTTTTGATTTAATATTTGTGGTTGAGATATTTTGTTAATTAAATATTTTAATTACTTAAATAGATGCTCGGGCTTTTTTGAACCTGCAGGAAGGACCCTTGAAGGGTCAGGCTAGCTCAGACGCTCCGTGAGTGGACATTTATTTTCTAAATATTTTTAAGAAATTCTTGAACTATGGTTATTAATTGTTTTGCTTATGGAATTAATAACTCATGATTTCCAGTTTTCTAAATAATATTTTATGCATATTCAAATTTAGTTTGAGAACGATTCTGAAGGATTTTTCATGATTGAGTTAAGTTAAGGAATTATGTATGGCTTTTGCGTTCCAAGTATAAAGTTTGAGTTCAAATACTTTTATAAAATTTTGTTTATGTTTAAATGTGAATGGCTTGGAAAGTAGAAAAGAAAATGGCAATAGGACTTAAGGATTGAATGAGAAATAGTTTTATAATTTTTCCAAGAAAGGCTTGTGTTTTAAACCACCATAGGTATCCAAAATGTTACCTTCGGATATAATGATGTCTACATACATCCTAGTTGCCTTTGATTGAGTCAGCACGCATTTCACAGTTGCCCCACGAGTCTTAGGGATATCCGAACCTTGAAGAGTGACGAATGTGGCTCAGGTTGATCAAGTGTCCCCTGAGTCTTGCGAGGAATGCAGTTCGGGTTGACTTTGTGTTACCGGAGCCTGTGAGGATGTGTTGCATTATGTGACACAAGGAATTGACTGTATAATGTGGAAATTAAATAGAAAATCATGGAATTAACGGATTTATTATGGGTGCACCTAGGTGGCAAAGAATTATCACTTTTCAATGCTTTCAATTGATTTTGATGATTTGATTGAATGCATGACTGGTTATATGTATATAGATATGCATGCTTGATTTTTGTACGAATATAGAACATGGATATAATTGAATTTCTAAATGTTTTAACAGTGGAGTTAGTATGCT